GTATTGCCTTGCACGCATTGGTTTCTTGACGTTCAAATGTGCTGATCACATGAATTCGCACATGGGCGCATGTGTTTTGTCAACTCACCTGATTGAAATGCGAATGCTGTTGCTGGATTGTTGACACCTGCAACAAAGAGGCGCCTGAACACACACCAACTTAGTTAGCAGAAGGGCACCTGTACCACCTCTCTGATAGCCCAGAAAAGTCAGTTGTTAGATCGCTTATGGGGAACAGCACGCATGCTTTCAATTTTGATGCTTCAATTCACATTGATGACAAAAGTACGCGAATTCCGTCTTTTCTACGACTGAACCTACTAAAACATTGGGGCGATATAAAAAAGAGCATTGCTTATTTATTCACAGACACCACTAACACCTCACACCTAATCTCGGAGCTGTTTATTATGGCACCAGTTAGGTGAAAATGGGATTGTTATAGGCGCAGGGAAATCAAAATGAAATAAAAGGGAAAATATGTTTTAATGCAGGGAGGCGTTAGTTAATGCAGTGTCTGCTTCACTATTAGCATTTCCAGAGCAGACGTAGGCATACTGGACATTAACTACTCAACTATGACAGAAAGTGGAACAACAGTCGTCGTTGTTTCAAGACCACAGAAGCAGATATAAATTTGAGAGCGCATTTTGCAGGCATTGCGAATTAAAACTGTCCACGAGAGCTAAACTAGCACCATACATTCAACGTAGTTGAAGAATTGAGTCTTTTGTTCCTCCCTCGATTGGGAGTCCATGCACAGGAGGTTTCGAAAGCGAAATATTAGCAAGTTAGTGTTAATGGAATTGTTCTTTGGTAACAAGACTAATGTCAGCCTTTTCTAAGATGACGTAGAGCTAGAAGATTCAAAATAAACCTAGTTGAGTTTGCTTATTCAAAGCGTTTAACTTCATAATCTTGTGCCTACATCAAGGCGGTAAGATAATCGTGCTGCAACATATATTCAGTATATTTTAATGCTTTAAATAAACGCCTTCAGTGATTGATAAAAACCAAGTGGATTACCTTTGCCCTCACGTTGCAGAACCGAAACATCCCCACACTGATGTTGAAGTCGATGGACTCTCTCTACATAGAGGAGCTGCGCAGCATGGTGAACGAGCTCATGATTCGTCTCGAGTCCGTGCCCGTCACCAAAGGTGGCGGAAGCTTTCAAAAGTTCAAAAAACATGGGCGGAACCAGAGCCTCGGTTCAAGTCTGCGGGATCACAGCACAGAGGAGAGCCCAGAGCTCAGTCTTAGCAAAGTGGACACACAGCTTAACTTCACTCTTGAGGTGAGTCGCCTTGCACACCGAACTCCACTTCCGATCTCTGCACCACCCTTACTTCCTATGTTCCACGCCTTTTACGTACGCACATTTCTGAAGTGGTACTGGGATAACAGTTAGTCCACGTTAGAATTAATCCAGTTTGCAAGGCCTCTAAATCGGAAATCGAGTAGCTTCAGACAACTGCCTAATCAGTCTTTATTTGATGCAGTGTACAGTCAGTTCTGCCATGAAACACAGGTGAAACTCGCGGAGGTCGAGGGAATAGTATGACTACAGAAGTGGTATATTTAGTGAATAATAATAAATAGTAAATAATAATGATAATAATAGTAAAAGAGTTGCATCATCGATAGTTAGTTTTTTCATACTGAAGGTGCGAAATTTGCCGCGCTTCGCCTTTCCGTATTAGTATGGTGTGCATAGGCGAACGGAGATAAAACGCATCCCAACTTGAGGTGTGCCACTTGAAGTCCCACGCTAAAAGATGCACACTCAACAACAAGTGCTTAATAAACGTCTTTCCACGTGATTTCTACCGTTCCCCGATATCAAGGTGACAAGTGCTTGGATCATAAAATCACCCAATCAACCGATCACCTTCATGTATTCTAGTTGCTAAAGCTACTTGGAGCAGTTGTTGATGGACTTTCGAATACCTACCTTGTCAGTTGACTTGTACATCTTCATGAGTACGTTTTAAAGTGCATGTTGCTTTGCTACTGTGCACTGTCGGTGGAGGATGATGGGATTGAGCGGGGCGTGATGCCCACAATTTGATGTGTAGCGTCTTAAGCAGAGGCGATCATCTAACCTCTCTCACGCTATTTCCTTTAGCATACATTTGTTGAAAGAAGATCCACCTAAGCTTATTGCATTTTGTGATGTAGCATCGGAAGAACTGAGAGGGCTCAACCAAAGTGAGAGTCACTCCACTTTGTCAATGCTTTACCCACAACTGATCCTCTAAGTTTTGCATCGCTTCCCATTCAGAAGCCCAAATCATCCATGTTAGTAGTTCTACTGGCATTTCCGGAGCCATAGAAAAGTGGAAATGTCTTAAGGAGCAAATTTCACACTCAATTTATTCGTTTCTTTAATAATAAATCATTCAGTCTGTGGTTTTCTACACACACAATGAGATATAGTTTCCCGATCTTTAAAAGATGGGACTGCTTAAAGCCATGGTAAAGTTTTGTTTGACTCCATCACAATTTCAAGCTACCTATTTGGCCCAAAAAAGCCCCTCTTAAAGTCAACAACCTTTATGCAGTTTCTTCCAGTTGCAGTGCATGTCCAAACAGCAGATGTATTTACAATTTGCATTAAAGTGAATCAATTTAAATGGTCTTTACTTGGTGAAGCCTTGCCCAAGTGTTACAAGCCTTCTCCCACTTTCGTTCTTGCAAAGCATTGCCCCTCTGCCTACATGCAATCAACCCATCATCATTCCCACCCGTTTCTATCCACTTTTCACTTCTCACCTATCTACCTTTCATACAACTGTGTAGTGCTAAATTGAGATAATGAGTGGTTGGGGTTTGAAGAGGCGTTCTTGAGTGAAGAAAAGCGTTGAATTTGTGACTGAGGATTGGGTGAGGCGGGATCGCCCTTCCAAACCCATTTCAATGGTATTAATCTTCTCAAAGGTGGATTTTGTGGTACGCGGTGAGTAACGCGTGGTATGCAGTACGGTATACTGTGTTGCTTTTTCAAAATGACAATAAGACCTGATTTTGTCAGTTCTTTCCTTCTAGCTCTATAGGGAAACATTGGGGCATTATAGACAAAACCGAAAATGCGCATTTAATGATTGCAACTGCGATCTACTGCTTACGCACACCCACGCACATGAAGTGGATTTGATCTTCTGCGAACAAATTGGCGAATTTAGGGCAATGCAAGAAGGCTAGTTCAAAGAAGTGTTTAGGTCAAGGCAGAGACGTAGTTGTTTACTTATCAAAGAGCACAAAATCACATAATCAATCAATCAATCAATCAAGAGGTCAATTGTCAATCCGAATACACCAAAGTCAACTTTTTGGCAACTCGTTTTGGGCCACGATTTTCACTACTACGTCTCTTTCAAAGTACGTGCGAAACCGCTTGATGCAACCCTTTTGTGCTCTACTTAGTTTATTAATGGACAGCTCGAGTGGACATCTTTCAAGTTCAAACTTCAACTGATGGGACGCCACAGGCTATAGTACTCAATTGCTCTAAGTCCTAGTGGGAGTTTTGGAAGTTCTCGCTTTAACTGGATATCAGCTGTTTTGATAACGAACATCAGATACTGGGAGCCAAATTTTTAGTGTCTTGCAGGCAGTTTTGAGACAAAGTTGTAAGCTCGTCTGTAGTATTCTACGGCTTCTCATTTGATAATAAAAGCCATACGACCTGACTGGCTACCTATATTTAGAAAGCTAGGGTAGAAGTTGAATTTCGGCATGGTTCGAAGGTCAGCCCATTCGGCCGAATCAAGATGACCGTCTGCCAACAAAGAGGGCCGCTACCTGTGCAGGTTGTCAGATAAACAGAACTTGACAGTCCCACCTAAAAACTCGAGTTCACATCAGAAAATGCCGATGATTGTGTGGCAACTGAAAGGCCTCACAGACAAACATGGTCGACTTTGAGTGGACAAGGCTAAAGGGAGTGGGACAGAACAGTTAAGTGAACGGGGAAACAGAACAAAGTGCGATTTGATCCTAATCCCAACCCTCCTTCCCCTTCGTCCACTCGGGCACTCACCAATGGTGCGACACAACTTTAACAACTTTGCTGCTGTGCGCCTGCACATTCCACTCTCCTTGAATTTGGCGGAACACAGAGACGCACAAAGGCGGA